AAATTGTATACTCTCGAAATTTAATGCTTCTCTCAGCTCTATATTTAGGCGGTTACTTAATCGCTTCGAGTGGACAAAGGGGCACAGCAATAGAGAATACAACACTGCAATCGGGCCCCAAGTGGGAATCCAGACAAAACGGTGGCGGAATGCAGCGAGGATAAGTCGCCAAGCCCCGGGCCAGGTGTCCGCATGGCCAGTTGTCCAGTTGTCCAGTTGGCTAGGTGTCTGGGTGTTCAGGCAAAGGAGGGCTGGCTATGGGCACGATAATAAAGCAAAAGTTGCAACACAATATTTCAGTGTCATTAAAAAGCCAGAGGACACTGGGGCGTATGGGCGTGGCGCCAACGTGCCACCAAACTAGCCCCATGCATATAAATTGTGTGCAGCGACAGCAGCAAGAAATTGACAGGGAAGAGCGCAAAACTCACCGGCAACTTTAGCAAAAGACTCATTCGAAGATACCAACCCAAATGAGAGAAATGCAAAAAGAGATGAAAAAGAATGAAGAGTATTACATTGCCCTGCAGACTTCCAACCAGGTCCAACTTATTACATCCCAAACTGAACTAGTATTTGAGAAACTCAATCGATTGTTCCTCTGGGCCCGATATGTTATAGTACTGGCAAAATGGAAGAATCAGTTTCAGTAAAATATATGAAGCGTTACTTGCCGATATGGTAAAGTTACTGTGGATGGCAACCATTATTTATTCATCGGACAACCTGTTTCTTGCACTTTGAAAATTATTTTGAAAAGTCCTCTGAGTTATTGAGAACTGAACAAAACTTAATGTAACAGAATGTTGAATGATAGCCTCATACTCCAAATCGACCTCAATTATAGAAAGTCATTCTCAAATAAAAATTGCGCCGAACACTAGAAATTGTACTGATTTTTAGAAATAATTTCAAAATATTAGGAAAAAATGCATAACATTCTTTTCTGAAATACTTATTTTAATACATGTAAAAAAAGAAGATGTAAGAACTTTGAGCATATACAAAAACAATTTGGAATAAAAATGAAAGAAAGAAAAATCCTTGCTTTGAGAAAAGCTCAACTTGCCGTCTTAGAAATACACATTCTGAATAATCAGTTGAGTTAGCCAAAAGTATAGTAAAAATAAAGTGACATTTTCATAGTTGCAGTAGCATAAATGAAAAGTTGCCACTTATTTTTTGTGGTATGCCGCTAAAGTGGCAAGCATTCATTCGAAAATCATGCAGATTTTACATGCCTTAAGATTTGTTTGTAGTTTCTTCTTTATATTCAGATCGACGACATTTCAACACATCACATCTATAGAAAATTAACGTTTTCCACAAGCAGCTGCGAGTACAGCCAAAAAAAACATATTGTTGAGCTGACGAGTCTTGGGCAGAGCATATTCAGTGCACCTGGCGCTGTGCAGCCTTTGTCTTGCTGGCGTGATCCTGGCAAAGTTAAGTGTTTCTTTAGCTTAATAACGGAAATATTTTAGTTGTTGGTTGCTGCCTGTTAGCAGTTAGCTGTTGGCTGTTGGCTGTTGGCTTTTGGCTGGCCTAGAGACGCTTACACATAAACACATTCAAACGCTTCCGGCGATGTGTAATAGCTGTACAAGGACGGACTCCCGGCTCCCCAACTCCCAACTCCTAGCTCCTAGCTGCTAGCTGCTAGCTGCTGGCTTGCGGCTGCCTGCCATCAGTTTGTGCGCAAAAAAGCCCTCCAGTGGCTGTAAATAACTCGCAGCAGGTGCCGGCGTCCTTGTTCCCGTTCCCGTTCCCATTTCCATTCCCATTTCCATTCCCGTTCTGCGAAAGGACGGCAAAGTTGCAGGACGTGGTGCAGTTTGAGGCAACGTTTTCTTTTGATTACACACCGTGCGGTCTGCCCATTGTTCTCCTAGCCTAACTCTCCACCACCCACAGCACACCAACTAACCCGGAGCCCGCTCACAACTAGTACACAGGCACGCCCTCGTCTCAAACACTCTCCGAGGCGCCGAGTGCGGTTGTAAGTGCAAATGAGCATGAAAGATGAAATATTAACGCGTCGCCTTCCACGTTCCCTGGACAGCATTTTGCGTTCTGCACTCTGAATCCTGCGTCCTGCGTCCTGCACTTATTTTCTAAATGCAATTTTCGCTAAGAGCGTACATCCGCCAATCGAGCGACCAGCCCAGCAACCAACTGACCAAGTCAGCAAGCCAGTCCTCCAGCTCAAAAAAAAACAAAAAAAAAAGAAGAAAATGTATAATAAAAAACCACTACAAATAGAAACACATGAAAACATTAAGTAAAAGTGCACAAAAACACAAAAAAAACTAAGCCGCTGGCTCTGCCTTCTCCCATTGCTGCCCATTAGCAGCATCAATAAGAACAACAACAACCACAACAGCAACAACAACAACAACCACAACGAATACAAGCAGAACACCAAAAGCATTTTTGAGTGCACACACAAGGTTATGCTGCACTTCTGCCGCAGGACACCCAGATATCGTCAGAGGCGGGGCAGGAAGACAACGTAATCCACATCGACATCTATGGAGCATCTCCTTCAATTCTGTTTATTTTAGTATGTGACTAAGGACATTCAAATTTGTTTCGACATTTCTTAACCAATATGCATCTAAATGTATAATATATTTATGCACACATACATACACATATATATGTATGTACTTATGCTGTCTGACTGTTAGAATCATTTGTACTTTTTGTCTGATGTTGAGAGTAAAGGATAACTCACTTTATTATTCAGAGCGTATACTTTAAAAACGATGTCTTTTGGGAAGCCAGGGTTTTTCTTTTCTTTCTTAAATTTAGAAATAATATATCTAATTTATAGACTGTTTGCTCTTGAGATGTGTTCAAAGAACTGTTTGTTAATGATACATTAGGGTTTTAAGATTTCAAATTATGCGATTTCTTCTGCAAATAAAGATTTGCATTTATACTTTTGGTATATATATATATTTCTGTAAACAAAAAAATCTTTCTAGCTTTCAGAGCGATTATCATTTTAGAAAGATTTTCTAAAAATTAAGCCGTTTTTTTCCCAGTGTGGTTGTGTGATGAAAATGCGATTTTTTCCATTAATTTTGCATTTGGTTTTTCCGCTAGTTTTGCCATGAATACCGTATGCCTTGCGGATCAATGCACATTATTGTTTTCGTTTCACAATCAACAATAATATTAATTGTAATCGAGTTGAATAGTTTCTCAAAACTTGAACTCATCAATATTTTAGTAATATGAGCAAATTCACATACTAATGGAATATAACAAAATATTGTTGCTGAATTCAACTACATATTTGTTCTGTAATTTTTAACTATTATTATAAACATATATATATATATTTCATAGTTGAAAAGCAGTCAGATATATATGCCAGTCAATATTGAAAAGGAATTTATTGCCAGACATAATGGATAAATGGGAACATGACCAAATTGTTAACCTCTCTCACGGCAACATTACAGCCAATTTCAAAATTGATCTTTGCTGATTTTGACAATCTTGCCAGCTGCGATTTATCTGCCAGAGCTGCGATTTACGAATCGCTTGAATTGGCTGCTCACTCAGAATTTCTAAAATTCAGTTTTTCTCGTTTTTCTGCTTATATGCTTGCAACTTGTAAATATTTCCGTTCAATTTGGCAGGCATCGAATCTGGTTGTACCAACATACATGGCAGCTACGAAAGGTTATCCAAATGAAACCAGGACGCACACAGCGCACCCACGCACCCGAAAGAGAGAGATGGAGAGAGAGAGAGAGAGAGAGAGAGAGAGAGAGAGAGAGGGAGAGTTAGGGAGAGAGACATGGAGAGCTGGAGAGTTCCTGAAAGCCATTGACGTGCAACAATGTTCGGGACAGGCTTGGCCCCATTCTTTGCCAGTGGGCTCGAAAATGGTTGGCCGGCTGCAGTTTACAGTTAATCGTAAAACAAAATGAAAAGCGAAAACAATAAACTGAAATTCAATTTTCGCATTGTAAAACATAATTTTGTACAACTTACGTCAGCTTTTGGCCCCATCGCATTGGGGCACCGCCTCTGCCAAAAGGTAGTTAATATTTTCCGTCTACATGAGACCAGTTCCGCACTGCCTCTGCTCAGCTTGTTCTTGCTCGTGTTGCAGTTGCAGTTGTGGCTGTTGCTGTTGCTGTTGTTGCTGTTGCTGCTGTTGTTGCTCTGCAACATTCCACTCGAGTTGCGAGTTGTTTTTTGCTGGCTGCTTCCTGTTTTGAAATTTATGGCGCCGTCGTCGCCAGCGCCGGCGTCGACTTCGCATGAGTTATGCGCGTTTCATTTCTACTGCTCCTGACACCCGGTCTGAGGGTCCTGTCCGGGGTCCAGGGCCAGGCCCACGTTAAGTGTTAAATTATTTTAGCATGTACATGTGTAACTATATATATATATATATATATATATATATGTATATATGTATGTATGTGTATCAGTATGTTGCTGGCAAAAAACACACCCCTTTCGCCACTTGACAAGAGCGCTGCCCTTTAATTATGAACGCTGATTTTTACAAGCACTTTAGAAGCATTCTATAACGGTCTGCGTTTCAACAATGATACCAATCTGCTAAATGTGCATGATTTTTTATGTATTTTATTCATTCAAACCCAAATAACACAACTTGCGCAATTTTCCGAATTTCTGTTGTGAGTCATTCAGTTATGCAAAGTATTCAAAGATTCCACTGATTCCACTAGACTTGGCAATTTTTAAATATTTCACTGCTTTCCTTGGTAGTTGTCGGATGTTAAAGCGCACTTTGACCTATATTGATGTTTCAGTGGAATCACGATATGTATATATGCATATATTTGTAAGGGTTATCATATTGCTAACTATTATTTCTGACATGATCAAGTAAGCATTTGTCGTGGATTGCCTATTTTCTATGCAAGTTCTTATACAAATAAATATAAATAGTACATAAATATATACTTTATATGTATATAGCAGCAACAACACTAGGAACTAGCTGCGCTCTACTCTAATCTATCCTTGCCAGTACTCGAAGGGCAGCGATTGCGTTCCCGACTCCGCCTTTGCCAGGTGCGTCGCCACAGACGTCCAAGCAGAAGATCTCCGGAACGAGCTTCACTCATTTGACGGCCACCAGGATTCTGATTCCGTTCCCGTTCCCGTTCCAGTTCCCATTCCCAATCCCAATTGCGCAGGCGAACCGAACGCTGTCGCTTCACATACGGATGGCTCGAAATGGTGTCGAAGTAGAAGCTGCCCTCCGGCCGACGATGCGAGTGAATCCCAAAGCGGGCACGCAGATTATTGGCGCAACGGCCAGCGGCATAGCTGCGATAGCTATCACACTGATAGCCCATGAAGGGGTATTGCGGATCCAGGGACTGTCTGAAGAATATGGCAGCCGTCGAGTGGCTGCACGCAATGGGATCTGTAAAGAGCAATCACATCCAAATGAAGCTTCAAGCACTCGCTTTGGTTGCACCACTTACTCGTGTTCTGCATGTCGCTCATGCTCATAAACATCTGACAATTTCGTTGGGGTGCTCGGCCACCGTTCGGATAGAAATCGGCGTGGCCACATTTCAAACTGGTGCCCAATGTGCCGCTCGAGGTGTGCATGACCTGAACGTATTGTGCATCCGTTTGATCCAGACGATATTTGGGCGAAACAGCCGCTGGCAATGTAAACAGCGGTCCAGCCGGATCCAGTCCAATAATTTGCTCAACCCTGCCATCGAGCACAGCGCCCGCATATCCAGCTGCATGAGCACCCAGACTATAGCCCGCAAGGGTCACATTCTGACGATTGAACTGACGCGGACGCATCTCCTCCAGGGCAATGATTATGCCCGCCACTGTCAGGCCAACATCGAATATGGACATCGAGGCGCTTTTGTAGTCATTCTGCGACAAATGGCCCCAATCCACAACGCACACATTGTAGCGCTCGTCGAAGAGCGTCCAGGCTGTTCAAAGGCAGATGAATTGAGTGCAATGGGAACTCAGTTAGCTTTCACAAACGGTATGATGTAATAGGCTTAGCAGCCTGCTTTAAATCTGGTTAGACTTGACGCATATATATATATATATATATCATATGTTGTCTTTTTGAATTAAAAATACATTTCAATTGGCTATCTAATCAAATCCAGAGCGGAAACGTTGAACAAATAAAGTAAATTAATAGTTTCACAAATGCAACTCAAATGTCAGTCAGTGTCAGTTAAGATTGTTAAATCCAGCTAAATATATTTTGAGAAACTTCTCTCTTTTGCTTCGGTCTCGACTTACTGAACAATAACTCCTGGACCCATTCCTTGCTGCCTTGATCGTTCCAGCCATGCAAAAACAAGGCCAACTTCTTTTTGTCATCCAAGCGACGGAATCCGCTCAAGTCGCCCAGCTGCAAATCGAAGTGTGAATCATCGCCCACATCAATGTCGGAGCTGCGTTGGAAATGGGAGGCTAGAGTAGAGTCTCGATTCGGATGTTGCATCTCAAACTGACCACTTACATGGTGCGGCACTCAAACACAATTCCATAGTTGAGATGCGCGCGTTCCAAGCTGTTTCTCAGCATCGTCTCCTGCATGTAGCGAAAGCTTCTCTGCAGGATTTTCCATTTGTGAAAATGCGCTCCGGTGCTCCAGATGCTGCCCAGCAACAGCAGACTGGTCCACAGCCAGGCAAAGTCATGGCAGCTTTGTTGTTTCTGTTTCTGTTTTTGGCCACGCTGCCGCCAGTTCACGTGCCTTGGCATGCAAACACTTTTTACCACAATACACAAACACAGAAAAAAAATACAAAAAAATTAATATAAATAAAAAAAAAAGAAGGAATCCACTAAATAAAATCAAGCTGCGTAATAATTTGTTAGCGATGGTTTGGCAAATTTATGCATAAACGCTTTGCCAAAGAATTTCGCTTGTATCGAAGCGCGAAAGCTGCAAAGCTCGCCAACGAGAGACCGCACGAGAACGAGGAAGGCGGGCCGATAGAAAGACAGAGGGAGAGAGAGGTAGAGAGAGGTAGAGAGAGAGAGAGAGCAAGTTTTGTGTAAAGATCGCACAGCGAGAGCTGGATTCGTCGGATTGGATCTGGTCCGCTTGGCTTGCCCCCTGACATGCTACTGACGTCCAAGCATTGCGTCGCTTCGCTTCTAGCATCCATCCAGCTCCGGCTCCACGTTTTTGGGGCCCCCGCTGATGACCATCGCCGCAGCGGAGGTTGCCGCCAAATGTCGCTTTATAACTTTCGTAGATGGCGTGTTCTTGGAGCTGGCATGGCCAGCTCATTGTTTGCACAAGTGAAAGTAAAGTTTGTAACAGCGGCGTCTTTTATTTCTTTGTCTATGCCTTTGTATCTGTGTCTGTGTTTCTCTATCTGTAACTGTAACTGTATCTGTATCTGTATCTGTGGCAGTGTCTTTGACTTGCGCCACTTGACTGATCTTGACATACTAGCAGCAGAGCGGCGTTCTGCATGCTGGGAACGATAGACGACTTGAGACCTGTTTGGATTTTACACGACACTCAGTAGTCGACTCACAGTCAGCTGAGCAAACATCTACCGAAAACAGCATCGTTGAAAGACAATAGAGCTGAATTCTTGGTACTCCACATAGATTATAAAGTGGCTTCTAATATGTAAGAGCAAAAGTTTACAGTGAACCTAACTTGGGCCAAATAACGTTTTCTCGTTGCTCAACTACACAGCGAAAAATTTGTATTGAAAACACACAATATTTTCAAAAGTATAAGATGCTAAAAAAGAACTAAAGTAATGATAATCATCATTTAAAGTTAGTCGTAAAGAACAACAATTTATTGTTTATATATTTTTTAAAAATTGTATCTGATTATAAATGTTTGACTGGTTTACATCATAATTAATTAAACTATCTAATTGAATATGTATTTCGCTGGGCACAACTTAACTTTTATTATTTTTAAAACCACAATTATTATTTGTTAATTTATTTATTTACTTTCTAAGCACATTTTTTCTCATTTGAAGTTGTACATAAAAAAAATGAAGAGCATCCAGGCTTACCAAAATTGTGATAGAGCTAGAAATAAATAGGCATAAAAATGTTAATTTCGCGTGCCTACGTAAATTGTTTTATTATAATTTTCACTTATTTTTTTGTTGGTTTTAATGCTGATTACAGGTTTTATATTCAAATCGCAATTAACACAATGCCTATTTAATGTGTTCGTCATGAACATTTTTTAAACTTCAAATTTCTCGCTTTTCTCCCTTCCTTTCTCCCTCTCCCTTTCCCCCTCTCTCTCTCTCTGTGTAGCTCTCTCTCTGTGATTGTTAAGTTTTTCAGCCAAAAATAACTTGTTAACATGGGCCAAGAAAGCGAAGGCAAAGCGCAACTAATGCTAATGATGACAAGCCAGCAAATCTATAATAAATTCACGCCAAAAAAACAATTTTTTATTGTATTTCTTCCCTTTGTACATATTAAATTATAGTTCTCCGATATACAGTGGATCACAGTTAATTTGAGTCAAGACAGAAGAACAAAATTGGAGCTTTAGTTTGGGCGAATAAATTTGATTTAGTTATTCTGAAAAATGATTTCATGAATAACCAAAGAAGACAAAAAGCATTCCACACAATAAAGGAAAATCTATGACTTCCAGCTTAAAATAGACTGATTTAAATAGAGTAGACTTAGGATTAGGTGTGGCGATCTTCTGATGATCTATAATTGATTTTACTCCATTAGAAACTGATGCCACCAATGTAAATTTAACTTATCAACTCAATAATATGCTTATCTCATTAGGCATATATTTTCTTTTATGCTAATAACAACTTGGCAAAATATTAGACTAAATATTCGAAGAAGTCCGCTCTGAAAACAAGTTGGTGTTGTGCTAAAGTGTGTAATAGGCAGAGGCATCTTCGATCCCAAAGAGTATATATATATTCATGATTTGCCGACTTAGACATGCCCCTCTGCATGTACAAACGGATCTCAGAGTCAATAAGCGAATTTCGATAGTATTATCTATCCTAATGTATTATATATCATATGTATATATAATTGTGCAGATATTGTTGACCAAAACATGTTTTCATATTGAACAAACAATAGCAGCAAGCTCGACTCGAGCACTCTCGACTACAGCAATCAGCGCAGATAACTGAAAACGTTGAAGAATTAACAGAACGGAGTCCAATTGTTGTTGTTCCATCTGATAGCAGTAAGCCAATTGAGCAGTTGTTTGATCATTGGTATTATCAATGCCAAAACCTCAATGGTACTCTGCCAACTCGTTCGTTCTTCCGAGTCCTTCTAAGGAGCATATTTCCAAGCCGTCGCCGTCGCCGTTTACTGTTTCTTACCATTAATGTAAAGTACGCTGTAATTGCTGATGCACAATAAGTGCTGGCTGCTCTGCTCGTCTCTCTATTGTGCTCCCTTTTTAGCCAGTTTGGTGCCACCCGCTTTAGCTGTAGCCCTTCCCCTTCCCCTTCCCCTTCCCTACACCCCCAACGCACCACGCACCCCCAGCGCTATTGCCTATTAAGCAGAATGATAATAATAATGAGTGATGGCAACAACAGCAACAAGAACAACAACAGCTGTGCGCAATAACTTTACATGTGTGGCGAGAACTGTGTGTGTGTGTGTGTGTGAATGCTTCTCTATAAGTGGGCGTGTGTGTGGTCACACACTGTCGGTGTGTTTGGGGACGCTGTGAGTGTGTGTTTCTGTGTGTGTGTATTGTTTATTTAATTAATTCTGCCAGCCATAAATCAGTGCGGAGTGTTGTGCAGCACGCACACATTTGTATACTCACACACACACACACACACACACACACTTACATGTGTGTGTGTGTGTGTATATGTGATTGCCCTTATAAGTGTGCGTGAGGGTTGTTGCGGCACACGCATCTGTTTTGTGGTTATTACAGCAAGCCACACACACACACACACACAAATAGACACCCCCTCACAGATTACCCATACACAGAGTATGTTGCTCATGTCCCATTCCCTGCTTACATAGATCAAGTCGCGTAATGAGTTTATAACATTTAATGAATACCGCCGCACAATGCGGCGAATGCGCAATAAAAGTGCTTTAAAAATGGGCGCTCCTAACTATGCAACAAGTTTTAATCAGCAAACAAAACACTCAGCCAACATTCAGCGACAACAGCGACACTTGGCCAACTCCAATTCCAACTCAAATTCGAACTTTAACAATGCCAATGTCTGAGACGTGGATTTAGCAGCCGAGTGACTTTTAGACGAAGAACACCATTTGTCATCAGCAACAAAGACACCGAATTGTATATTGGTTGGAACCCGTTTGTAGTATCGAACCGGTTTGGCATGCTTTCAAAAATACAAGAACATAAATTCAAGGCTCGACTGTGGAATTTTAATTAGCCCCAAAACTTGTTTTATATACATGCCTATCTATATGCTTATGAAGTTATCATACAGCTCCCATGGGAACAATCGATCAGTTTTGCGAAAGTCTGAAACTCCTTAAACGCAAATCGATATAACTTTCTCCTGCCAGCTAAACAAGTATTTGTCCTTTCTATTGACCAGGAGCCAGCTAGAAACATATTAAAGTATTTCCGTATTTTCGTATCCATATCCAAATTGAAATGTTATTTGTCATGAAGCTAATTTCTCTTTTTATACATTTTTAAAGGCTATGCGAGCAAAGCATATGAAACTATATTTCACACTTTAGTTTATTTAACATAGGGTATGGTTTAGTCGTTCCAACTCACTAACCTAACAAGTAATTAACTACAATACATACTGATTCAATTGAATAGCTACTTTATTGTATCCGAATTGACTTCAGGCACTTGGAACCATTGATGCTGTGTCAGTTTTGCAGAGCGATTGACGCTGTGGCATTTGTTGTACTTTATTTTTGTGTCAATTTTGTCCTTTTTTTCCTTTCCTTTCCTTTTTTTTTTGTTCTTGCTGCTGCAAATAAGGAGCATTTGATGGCTACGCGCTCGACTTGCCATCGAGATGGAGTTACGTATACGTTGTGTGTAGCAATGGGTGCTGAGGGTGCCTTGTCGTTTGCCTTGCCGTCAGACTTCAATTTAAAGTTGGAGGCGTGGCAAATAGGCGTGCCACAGTGCTGCAGTGGGTGGTAGTGGCTGCTGTTGCTGTTGCTATTGCTGTTGCTGTTGCTGATGCTGATGTTGATGCTGCGGCAGTTGTTGTGTGAAAGTGACGGCCTGACTTTTGCTCAATACACTCGCAGCAGTGAGTTGTTAGGGAAACTATTTTACCGCTCAATTGATTTTGCAATTTATTTGCGCGTATTATGCGAACAATCACACTGACACACACACACACACACAGTGTGGGATGTATGTGAGACAAGCAATAGATATATAGGAGAAGCACACGTGTCCTGAGCCGAAAGCGAAACATTTACCGGTGGCTGGCGCATTTTCAATTCTATTTACTCCCTATAATCATCATCAATGTCAGCTGCGCTTGCACTAAAATAAAATAACAACAGCACCAGCAGCAATGGAAGCAGCAGCAACAACAACAACAACAGCAACAACAATAACAACAACAACAACAACAAGAGCAACAAACAGCCACACAACAAAAACTTTGGGCACATCACAAAAGTAACAACGTCAACAGGATCATTGGCGGTATTGACAGCAACAACAGCAACTAGAACAACAACAACCACAGCAACAAACAAACAAACACACACACACACAAGCACACACA